GTGCACACAGACAGACAGACAGACAGACAGACAGACAGACAGACACGGTCTCTGAGGTAAACAGGGGGCGAGGGGTTGACGTGACAAAGAGAGACCGAGAACAAAAGGTTAGAAAGAAGGCTTTAAAAAAAAAAAAACACTCCTCAGGTTCCCAAGCTGAGTTCCATTGACGAGTTCAGAAAACGTTTACATATATTATATCGGAGTATTCACCTGGAACCGGCCTCTAAGATTGCTGACAAGTCAGTTTCCAAGCCACTGAGCGCGGGAAAAAAAATTTGATCGCTGTCCCCCTGAATGACGACCCTCCACCCTACCGCCCGCCCCACAAACCTCTCCTTCTGGCAAGGCTCACGCGAATTCACAATAACTCCCCGGTCCGGTCTGTTCATTCCAAATGAACATTCAGTCCTCATGAGGGACATAAATAGGACGAGATAAATAAGAGATTCTCTATTGATCCTCCAATGGGGAAAATGGTGACTATCAGAGAAGCAAAAAAATATGACTGCTTGCAACGCAAAATAAACGTAACGATCTATCACAATAATCGGTGATGGCAATTGAAGGTCTATACAAATGTATGGTATCTTTTCTAAAGAGAAAAAAATAGAAAGAAATAGAAATACAAGTCTATCATTTCGTACTTTGATTTTTGTGTGTCAATTACGGTCCCCTTTTGCACTGAGAAAGAAAGTAGCGATTGTCTTTTAAGGTCATTCAAGGTCAGAAATGGTACCTCTCACTTAACTGTGAATGTTTATTTCCAAACCAACCAGGTTACTGTTATGTCTAAACCACTGGATGGTATACCTAAATAAGAGAAAATATTTAATACTGGACGCCAATTAAAACGCAACACTTTTTGTTCGCAGCGTCTGTAAACGTTTGTATCAAATAAACGAAGATAGATTAAAAGAAGTATTTATTGAAGTTTATTAATTTTCAATCCCATGTGGACCATTATTTTATCACATGCTTCATCTAATTTCAATACATTGTCTTCCTTCTTTCGGAGTGGCCCCCTTTAAGCAAATTTGTAGAATCATGCACAAACCGAAACTTAATAAAGATCTTAACAAAGATATATTATGGTCAACATTAATATGCATACAGACAAAGACATATCTTCACGTTGATTCTACGGCATTTTTCATTTTTTGGGGGGGGAGAAATTCTATCCCACTTTTGCATTAGTGCGACCCATTATTGCTGCAGAATCACAAACAGGTCTCTTGCACGCACTTTGAGGTTATGGTTATCCCATATGTGCGCTGCTGGGGACCAGGCGCGGTTCGTCCATAGAGCGCGGTCGTGCAGTGCCGCCCAAAATTTTTGAATGTTCTATTACGCAAAACCCCCACAATAATATAATAAAAGAAACCAGAAACAAACACTAGCCAAATAAAGTCCACGCACTTTAGCTAAACAGAAAAGGATATTCAACAGTGTAACCTGACCTATAAATCGCTCTTGGAGATAACCCAAGCGATGACGACACTCGTAGCGAGTTTGGCGGAACATTAATATTAATAAGCCGGCACATGTCAAATGTGCTCCTGTCGAATAGTGCCGAAACATAGCCCACTGTAGGCAGTCTAAAAATAAACACGATAGACCCTACGCTCTTCTTTACCAGTATTATGGGATCCCCGGAGCATTCCAGGGGAGTGCTCAAGTGAATTGTGATTGGTTCATTGTTTGTCTTGCCACTATTTTAAGTGACTCTGTAGCCGTGAACCTGAGGGTGGTGAACGTGACCGTCGTCCTATGAGTTGTGCCTTTGAATGGTTTTGTAGTGGAATAGTGAAAGTTATTACCAGTGGCGGCTCGTGGTTTATAGAACTGACCGGCGGTCATTCACGTCGACTATTTTTCCCTCCCCCACCCCCTTCCTTCACAACACACACACACACACACACACACACACACACACACACACACACACACACACACACACACACACACACACACACACACACACACACACACAGAAAAAGAAACACACTACTTGAGTCTAAGCTAGAAAACAAACTGAAAGTGAGAAGCAATAAATCGCTGGTCCTGGCCTCCAGTACAGTACTTTACTCGTACTTTCTACACCCCGATGCAAAATATCGACGTGCACTGAACCCGTTAAATATATGTAATAAGAACCGTCCTGTATGATGACAAAAAGTCAATTGCTACTGTACCAGTGACGCTGTTCCAAGCAGATCAAGTCTACAATCAGATGCTATACAAAGC